ATGCAGTCTTGGTGAGCATATTTAGACTTCTTTCAAAACATTTAACAGTCTTTCTTACCTACCCTAAATGGTGCAAGTTTATGTAATTTCTTTGCCATTATATAGTTCATTTAGTGAGATTTGTAATCACTTAACGCAGGGGTGTCCAAACTCGGTCCAGGAGGGCGTGTCTAGTAGAGCTCTGTGCGGGAGAGGTCTTTTTAGATGGGAGAGGGAACCACCCGCAGGTGTAGAGTTTTACACCCCTACTTTTTTAATAGTAATATTAAAAAAGTAGGGGTGTAAATATTAATCGATTCGTATCGATCCATCGATTATACAGCCGATGATTCTATGCATTGATCTGTCCGCAAGAGTATCGATTAATGTGTTTATTTTGCCTATCTATTTTCAGAATCAGCTCCAACATATGCATACAACCTGCGGGTGGCTCTGCGGGTGGTGCTAACCTCATTATCTTCTACTTCACATGTGTTACTTACGTTTCACAGTATTTGTCACACACATTGTTGAGTCTGACTTTCAAGAGTGATGGAACCGTCAGAGCGAGCTGGCAATGAAAGTGGGATGTTACACACCCTAGTCGGCATCAAGTGCGTCATGGGTGCGGAAGCATTTTGGCTTCAGGAAACCGATGGAGCAGTGGAATGAGATGTTGTCGTTTGCAAAGAAGACTGCTATATAACATTCATTATGTAAATAGAATACTGTGGCGAGCAGGTGACGTTCATTAACACTCACGCCACCGGCCTCGCGCCATTCTCTCACGTCGGCCGCGTCCTGCTCGCTCCAAATGCGGTTTCTGTATTCTCTATAAAAGGCATTATATATTTTTTTGTTGTTGTTGATTTATTTGAAACTTAATAGATCTCATGTAAAAATATCTAGTATTGAATCGAATCGTATCACAGGAAATTCTGAAGTATCGAAAATAATCTAATCGTTTGCTTAAGAAATCGGTATTGTATCGAATCGTCATTAAGACTCTGATTTACACCCCTAATCTAAAGTACACCAGAGGTACCGACATGGGTGTAATTTGTGGGTGGGACATGTTCCCACCACTTTTTGCGAGGGTTGATATTGTCTCAACCACTTTTGAAACATCTCGTGGCACGGATGTAACTAATACATACAAATAAATAAATCATCTGTGGCACGTGTCTTCACTCGGATGCTTTAATTTGTTGCGGAGACTCTCTGTTCGTTCTGGTGAAATCACAAAGTAAAATGTGTCCCTGCTTGATATACAACCACTGATAAACATAATCGGTTTTAATGAGGGAAAAAAAACTGTATGGGTGCGGATTAGAACCCAGAAACTCTGACACGCTTGGTAAAAGTTCTGCCACTGGACCATTAAAGTGCGTGCGTGTAACTGTCGGATCTATGTATTTCTTCACGTGAAAATTATCGGCACCAACACACATTAGGTCTCGTTAAATGATAAAGTAAACACAATGTACTTTTTAAATCGATTGCTGGTACATATAATTTATGATTTAGCATTGTATTGCTTTTGTCCCCACCAATTTTCAACACAAACTGACAGCCCTGGTTACCGACCTCTATCGTTACACAACAAAACTTCACCTGAAAACTTTTTATGCGTTTTGGCCATTCATAGAAACAACAGGTGCTTGAAAGCTGTTTTCAAAGTGTTGGTTTTTGAAAACAATACTGTTATCTCAATGTAAACTACAAATACGCAAATTTGTGAAAACAATGATATCATTCACATTCGTTTTATGTGCTCAGTCTACACTCACCTAAAGGATTATTAGGAACACCATACTAATACGGTGTTTGACCCCCTTTTGCCTCGAACTGCCTTAATTCTACATGGCATTGATTCAAAAAGGTGCTGAAAGCATTCTTTAGAAATGTTGGCCCATATTGATAGGATAGCATTTTGCAGTTGATGGAGATTTGTAGGATGCACATGCAGGGCACAAAGCTCCCGTTCCACCACATCCCAAAGATGCTCTATTGGGTTGCGATCTGGTGACTGTGGGGGCCATTTTAGTACAGTGAACTCATTGACATTTTCAAGAAACCAATTTGAAATGATTCAAGCTTTGTGACATGGTGCATTATCCTGCTGGAAGTAGCCATCAGAGGATGGGTACATGGTGGCCTTAAAGAGATGTACATCCCGTCAGAATCATTGCTCAGTTGAAAGCTGGTGTGGCTTTTAAACGATGCCCAATTGGCCTAATGTGTGCGAAGAAAATGTCCCCCACACTTTGCACCACTACCACCAGCCTGCACAGTGGTAACAAGGCATGATGGATCCATGTTCTCATTCTGTTTATGCCAAATTCTAACTCTACCATCTGAAAGTCTTAACAGAAATCGAGACATCGAACATTTTTTTCCAGTCTTCAACTGTCCCATTTTGGTGAGCTCTTGCAAATTGTAGCCTCTTTTTCCTATTTGTAGTGAAGATGTGTGGTACCCAGTGGGGTCTTCTGCTGTTGTAGCCCATCTGCCTCAAGGTTGTGCTGTTGATCAGTGCTGATCAGTACTGTTGTAAAGTCATGCTTTTTTTATCACTGCCAACTTTCCAAAGTAAAACCTTTTTTTAACTCAACACAATCTCCAAATAGTAATTCATGCATTTGAAACATCTCGACTAGACTCTTGCAATTCTCTTTACTTTGGTCCATCACAGTCTTCTCTCTCTCGCTTACAGTTGCAAAACACAGCGGCTAGACTCCTCACTGGGACACGCAACTATGAATCGATCACCTCCATCTTATTTAAACTTCACTGGTTACCTATCAAATTTAGAATTTATTTAAAAATTTTACTTTTTGTGTATTAAACTTTTAATAACCTGGCTGCTCTGTCTGTACACTCCGACTCGTACCCTAAGATGCAGTGACCACTGCCTTCTTATTGTCCCTAGATCCAGACTTAAAAACGAGGCGAACGTGCATTTGCCAATGCAGGCCCAAAACTCTGGAACAGTTTGCCTCTCTATATTCCAAACCCAAAACTCTGGAACAGTTTGCCTCTCTATAGTAGACTGGCTCCCTCAGTTTCCATATTTAAATCCTCCTTAAAAACCTTTTTATTCTCTCTTGCTTTTAATTCTCCCTGACTTTGTTTCTTATGTCTATAGTCCTGTACTGCATTGTATATCTTCTCCTTTGTGCTGCACTTTGGTCGGCCATGGCTGTTTTTAAACATGCTTTATAAATAAATATTGTTTTGTATTGTTGTGGCTTCACAAATGCTTTGCTGCATACCTTGGTTGTGACGAGTGGTTATTTCAGTCAATGTTGCTCTTCTATCAGCTTGAATCAGTCGGCTCATTCTCCTCTGACCTCTAGCATCAACAAGGCATTTTCGCATAATGGATGTTTTTCCCTTTTCACACCATTCTTTGTAAACCCTAGAAATGGTTGAATGTGAAAATCCCAGTAACTGAGCAGACTGTGAAATAGATGGCCCGACTGGTGCCAACAACCATGCCACGCTCAAAATAGCTTAAATTGACTTTCTTTCCCATTCTGACATTCAGTTTGGAGTTTAGGAGATTGTCTTGACCAGGACCACACCCCTAAATGCATTGAAGCAACTGCCATGTGATTGGTTGATTAGATAATTGCATTAATGAGAAATTGAACAGGTGTTCCTAATAATCCTTTAGGTGAGTGTATAACCACATAGTCTTTTTTTTTTTCTACAATGTGACATCACCAGCTACTGGCTTGGCCTGCTAGGACAGTTCTTTTGAATCTACCAATAAAATTGCAATTGGTGCATCTCTAGACAAAACTCATATTGTTGAGCCCTGTATGAATTTCAAGCAACATGAGGATAAGCAAATGTGTTGGGTGAGCTATTCCCATTAGAAAGGTTTCTTTATGTAATGTTATTTGCTGTAAATTGTGGTGTAGTTCCAGAAATTGTCATGTAAGCAGCTCAAATTGACTCTTGGTGATCCACCGAAATCTCTTGGAGGATTACTGGGCGGAGCCTGCTGATGTTTGGATGTCAGGTGGAAGCTGATTGGACTGTCCGAGGAGCAGCAGTACCACGGATGGTCTTGCTTGACGAGTGGCAGACGGGCTGGATTATTTCATGGTCTGACCTTTCAGATTGCCACTATGATTATCACGGTTTAGTCAGTGAGACACCATTGAGATTACAGCATGGGTTAGCGGTAAGCCCGCTACCCTCAGACTCTTGGCTTCAGATGCTGTGATTATATTTTCACTCCTCACTTCGAACCATCTCACAACTAAGAGCTTAATCCCCTCGGACCAAATCCGCAGGCAATCTGCTGGATGAATAAAGACACTTGGACGTTGTCTGTCTAGTATCTGTTGCTCTTGTCTTGATATGTGGCCATGTGCGCCACATTTGGCTGGATCAAGTCTACAGTTGTAAAAGAGATGGCTATGGATATTCTTTTTTTAGATCTTTCCAAATTGCCATGATGTCAATCATGTTTCAATAATTTATTTTATATAGTTGTTTGTTTTCATGAATTTAAAAACCCAGTCTAATCTGAACATGTCACATTGATGGCATGAGCTTCAAATCTCTGCTTGTGTTAGTCTGAGAGCAATGACTCATTTTCCGTCTTGATACAGAAACTGTGTGCACATTTATGAATTAATTTATGAAATATTTTTCAATTTATGAATGGTATTTCATTTCATGGCAGTATGTTTGTCACAATATATACAAATTAGTTGTTGATACCAATATTAGTCAAAATTCACTATTTAATATAAATTGATCAAAAAACGTAGTTAAAACACGTAATTAATTATAATTGCCTTGTCTTGTTTTATTATATTTTATTTTACAAATTAAATGTTAAAAATGTAATTAAAACAATTGCATCAAATCAAGTTTCCTCAACTAAAAATAAAAGTTCATCTCAATGTGAACGATGTGATAAATGTATGATATTATAGATGCAAATATTAATAGTTGCTGAGTTTAACGATGAATTCTCCATTTCTTTCTGTCATCTACAGGAGATCATTGTGCGAATGACTGAGTGATGCAAGTTTCGTTTCTTCAGGTAAGTCTCTTCCCTCCACCTCCATCAGAACAGCCCGTACCAAATTTTAGAATTAGTTTGATTCTCAACAACTGCAACAATCCCCATGTGGACGATCCCTGCCAAAACGGCCCTTTAGTGTTGTTAACTTGTGAATTTGTGAAGTAGTGCTCATTTATAAGACTGAAACATGTCATAGATTGATTTTGGCTTGTGTATTCTGTTTCAGGGCAGTATGGGTGTGTATCCCCTGCTCCTGCTACTCCATGTGGCCTTTGTGGCCCTCAGCACGGCCCAGACAAACCCTGACCCTTCAGGTAAGGCACTTTGCCTGGGGGATAGAACATTTTCACACACACCTAATTTTGTTTTGTGAGATATTTGATGTTCAGTGTTAACGTTGAAATCCCAAACTTCAGTGGAACATACAATACTGAGTTTTGGGGTCGGGTATTGCTTCTGTTTTTAAACCTTTAAAATCTCCCTTTCTCAGGTGCAGTCTTGACCTCCAAACCTACAGACCCTCCTCCCACGTCACCTTTCATCGCTGTCACCCAGACGCCCCCATCAGCCACCATATCACTGACACCGTCCCCTGAACTTGTTGGAACAACAGTATTAAAAGACTCAGAGGGCATGGTGACGCCGGAGATTCCCACAGCCCCTCCTGTCGTCCCCCCTCCAAATGTGCTCGTCCCCACCGAAACGCCACCTGCCCCATCAACTCCATCTGCCGCCTCCCCATCCCTCACCTCCGTCAAGACTACGGTTTTGTCTACATCAGAGATTCCTACATCTGATCTGACACCCACTCAGTCCTCTTCACTGCCCGAAACAAACACTTCATTTGTCCCTACGGATGCCACCACAGCTGACACCAGCAAGACTCCAGGTACCATTTTGAAGACTACCATTCTTTTTCCAACTGTTTGGGAAGAACTGCATTTGCTCTTTCCAGTTATGTATGTCATTCTCTAATCTATTTCTGTTGTTTCTCTTATGTAATGAAGATGATGGGCAAGGTAAGTTTCTGTTAACCATTTTATTTGTCACTAACATTTGCTTGCATAACGAAGCCTTTTCTATGGTTTATTAGTAACCATTTATTACACAACCAGAAGCAGAGTGGCTGATGGTCAGTATAAATCAAATGTATTGTCTATGACATCACACAATTACATTTTAAATAAAATATGAACAATATTTCTGCTATTTTTATTTTTAAATGATAAAACAGCATATTTTACATGATGTTAACAAAAATAATTTGAAAAAAAAAAAACAATTATATTACTATTAATCATTTTGTTATATTCTTGTATATAATACCATTTCAAGGTTTCTTAAAAGTTTTTTAAGTCTCTTATGCTCACCAAAGCTAATATTCTGAAATATTATTACTATTACTATTATTGTTAACTGTTTTCTATTTTAATATATTTTTAAATGTAATTTATTCCTGTGATGGCAAAGCTGAATTTTCAGCATCATCACTCCAGTCTTTAGTGTCACATGATCTTTCTGAAATCATTCTAATAGGCTGATTTTTGATTTTCGTGCTGATTAATATTTTTTGGAAAATCATTAATTTCTTTCCTGAATTCTTTGATGAATAGAAATGTCAAAATAACAGCATTTAATTTGTAACCTTTTAAATGTATGATACATTTAATAATAAATTTAATTCTTTTGATAAATTGAATGCATCCATGTTGAATAAAAGTATTAATTTCTTCTTCTTTTTTTGTAATGATTGTAATGTAAAAGTTTTGAAGGTATAGTTCACCCAAAAATGAAAATGCTGTCATCATTAACTCGCCTTTAAGTTGTTTCAAACTTGTGAATTTCTTTCTTCTGCTGAACTGTAGCCATTGACTTCCAAAGTATTTTCTTCCATACCATGGAAGTCAATGGCTACCATCAAATGTTTGGTTCCCCACAAAAAAAGATTTCTGACTGCAATTTAATTCATTTTTGTCCTCTAAACTCAGATGACACGGCGATCATGGCGGTGATGGTTGCCCTGTCTTCTCTGCTGGTCATTGTCTTTATCATCATCGTCCTGTACATGCTCAGGTAAGCCCCAGTATTCAGAAACTTTCAGTTGTTCATGCAGTACAAAATGTGCTCATAGCATAGATTCCAGCTTAAAAAACAACAAAGACAAAGTTACAAGCAGTTAGAGCAAAGAAAAACCAGCACACACATGCATAATCGTAATAGAACGGATGAGATAAAGTGTTCGGAAAGCTCCATTCATTAGGAAATCCACAATGTCAGCAGGGGGCCATGGGGCTGAATGTCCAGTTACCATGGTAATGATTGGCTTTTTGTTTCGCTCCGTTGTGGCAGGTTTAAGAAGTACAAGCAGGCAGGGAGCCACTCCAATTCCTTCCGCCTGACCAATGGCAGAGCTGACGACACAGGTAGAAATAAGAGTCTGTGCGTCTGTGACTGTTCTTAGAAATGCTTGTCTTTTAAAGCAGCGAATATATTAAGTTGTATATTGTTGTTTATAAGGTGGATGCACTACTAGAGTCATCTTTTATTTTCCATCTTGATTGAGTGATTTGATTGAAACACATTTGACCTTGAATTGGACTGTGTTGCCCCCTATTGGTTGTCCTGTACACAACATGGATAAAGGACAAACTGCAAGTCATTCTTAAAATATTTAATTGAAAAAAAAAACACATTTTTTTGTTGTTAACACATTTATTTATATTTCTTTATCCTTTCTCGTAGAACTTCAGAGTGTGCCACTATTGGCTCGCTCTCCTAGCACCAACAGGAAGTACCCGCCCCTTCTTGTCGATAAGCTTGAGGAGGAGATGAACCGCAGAATGGCTGATGACAATAAACTCTTCCGGGAAGAGTTCAACGTAGGTGCACAAACACACACAGGTCTGATTTAGTAATTGACCTGATTGGAAATTTTACCATCTTTGGAATGACCAAAAAAAAGGCATCTTATGGTGCGTTCATTTGCTATCAGAATTATCATAAATATGAGTTTCCTAGTTGAAAATTAGACTATTTACCTCTGGAAAGCTTAGGGATCATTTTGATAAATGGTTGTCATGAATGGGACACTAAATATCTTTTTGGTTTTACTAGGATTTTTCAAATAAATAGTCAAGAATAAACCTGTTCTTTCCGAATGTGGCGATCTTGTAATCACGACTTCAGAAGTGGGCAGTAGGAAATTTCTTGATAAGACATGAAGGCTGCATTAATTACATTAAATTTTAGGTGGATGTATTTATGCCGTTGGTGGATGATGATGATGATGATGAACTTTTATTGTGATTATTTTTTTTTTATCTGATTTTTTTCTTGTGTAACATTGTACATTCATAAATATTACCCATAAATCCTCAGACCCTTACAGTGATTATTCACAGATATTACCACATAAACATAGAAAATCATATATATCAGAATAATGTACACAATTCCATATTAGACAGTATACAGACATAATGTACCATATTCAGCTCCATTACAGCTTGAAGCACAAAAGAGTGCTTTAATCCAAATTGATTATATTCCTGTACCGCTGTCAATGCTTTCGCCCTACTTGAACTGTGTGATTGGTTTCTTTTTTTCTGCAGGCATTGCCTGTATGTCCCATTCAAGCCTCATGTGATGCTGCCTCGAAGGAGGAGAATAAAGAGAAGAACAGATATGTCAACATCCTGCCCTGTAAGGCTTTCCTATAACTTATCTCCAAACCAGAGCTGATAGTAAAGCATGCTTTTACCAGAACTGTAAGGCCTACAAAGAAGTTTCTCATGTGAAAATGGCTGTAATAAATTAAACATTAATGTTATGAGCCTTATAATCTCCTTTCCTAATTTGTTTCTCATTTTTATCTCAGATGATCATTCTAGGGTACATTTGACCTCTCTGGAGGGTGTTCCTGATTCAGACTACATCAACGCTTCCTACATTAATGTAAGACTCCAAGCGCTAGCCTAGTTATGAGGACGAGTGCACTGTTAGTTCTAGTCAACGAGTATTTTCATTTTACTGCAGATTTTAAAACTCTAAATAAATATCACAAAAACATAAAATCATTTGTTTTAAATGCTACAAGTAAATTTAGGCAGTTTTATTACAATATTAACTATATAGTATTATAGTATCTATTTACATTTTTAATTATCTTTTCATTTCAAATTTAGTTTTTAGTTGCTCATTACAATGTCATTTTTATTAGTTTTTTATTTGTTTAGCTTCAATTTATTTAAATTTCAGTCTTAGTTTTAGTAATTTTAGAACTTAAACTTCATTTAGTTGCCAAGACATATATTTTTAATCTAATATTTATATTTTATTTTTATTATTTTTAAAATTAGGTCAATATATAAAAACTATTAAATAATGAATTGTTTCCTTCAGCTGAGACACTTCATATGCGCACTGTTCGGCATGATGTTTTTGAATTACTTTAAATATGAATTGAATCACTTCAAAATAGGAAAATACAGTTAAGTGCAAGATGTGCAGCGCATGTGTGTCATTTAGGCTACTTAAAGTTATAATGAAAACATAATTGTTTGCTTGAGACAAGGCTTTTAATGGTGAGACTTTTTTTTGTAATTAGGCTTTTATATACAATATATAATTATATACAATTTGGAATTAGATTTATCTGTTATCAACTTTCAAATATAAAGAATTTGTATCAGCCAAAATGTTTATTTCAGTGCATCCATAACTAATTCCAATTTCTGAAAATCATTTAACTTCTATTTTAGTTTTGGTTAAGGCATCACAACATTATAATGTACATTATGAAAAATGGATTTTCATTTTGAGATTGGCTGAAGTTTACAATCATCACTATTTTTAAGGCATTCATGTTTTTAAAGATTAAATGAGTGTTGGATGAAAGGTCATCTAAATGTAAAAATATGGGAAATGAGCATGCACGCGTAATTCCTTAATAATAATTTGAACTTTTTTTCCACACTTTCTTTTCAGGGATACCAGGAGAAAAACAAATTTATAGCTGCACAAGGTAAGAAAAAATGGTTTCAGTCTCTTTCATAAATATCAAAATGCTTTACATAGCTTTTTGATTACCGGTAATGATTATAAAAAAAATCAACATTCTAATTGCAGGACCAAAAGAGGAAACAGTTAACGACTTCTGGAGGATGATCTGGGAACAGAACACTGCCACCATCGTCATGGTAACCAACTTGAAAGAAAGGAAAGAGGTAAATGCTGCAAGAAATCTATTACATGTAATCTAGTGGCAAAGAGGAGTAAGCTGATCTGTGATTTTACAACCTCCGCTCTTATCGCGGTCTCGCGTAATGGATTTAGAGTGCAACTTTGAGGAGGATGGCCATTAATAAAGATGTATGATCACCGCAGTGATGATCATGATTATGATATACTGTGCTTCATATCCGCAGTGTAAATGTGCTCAGTACTGGCCAGACCAGGGATGCTGGACCTACGGAAATATCCGCGTGTCAGTGGAGGATATGATGATTCTAGTTGACTATACTATCCGCAAGTTCTGCATTCAGCAGGTAGGACCTGTTTTTTTTTGTTTTTTTTTTAGCTTTTTCAAACTATGCACATTTATCACAATGTTGATACACATTTTGAAGAAAATTGGATAAGGCACATTTTTAGGGGGTCTTGGTCCGCTTCCAAACCGATCTCTTGAGTGATTCGACTAAAATATGAACTCAACACAAACCAAAGACATCTAAACAAACCAAAAACGTCGATACGAGGACGAAGATATGACCCTAAAAAGGAATTTGCAAGTATACTGGATTCCTTAACTGGTGTTGCTCATCATAGGACTAAATGTGTCGTGTTCTTTTTTTGCCCCGGACCAAAAGAATCAAACTACAAGTGTAAACATCCTTAGACTGTCACAGCAACTTTACTAGCAGGCAGTTAAGTCTGAATTAGTAGAAAACAAAAAGAAATGGAACATTTGCTTAGCGTGATGATAGCAACAGTATATAGGACAGTGATAAAGGTGTACACCAAAATGCCGTTTTGTAGATATATTATAGATGGAGAAGTAAAAAGCCAAATTGGACGTTTCAGCACTTCAAAATTAGGATCAGAAAAGAAACTATAAATGGTTTAAAGCTTTAATTTATTCAATCCATTTATTTATTTATTTATTTATTTTTATCAGTGTTATTTGTTAATTTTTTTAAAAATCATCCAATGTCACAGATATGTTTCCCCAATTCACAAAGCACCTATATATATATCAGTGTTAGATTTTGATCATGACCTACCTTGCCCCCTAGATATCAGATTATAATATTTAAAAAGGCATATTCCTGTAACCTCTAAAGAGACAAGGCTGTTATTATTGAACTGTAATATTGTTGAGATTTTGTTTGGTGAATGATGTGATGGAAAAACTCTTTTGTGTGTTAAGGTGGGTGATGTGTCTGGTAAGAAGCCCCAGAGGCTGGTCACACAGTTTCACTTCACCAGCTGGCCTGATTTCGGGGTTCCTTTCACTCCCATTGGCATGCTGAAGTTCCTAAAAAAGGTCAAGAACTGCAACCCACAGTATGCTGGACCCATAGTGGTTCACTGCAGGTAAAGAGCTTCATTATCTTAAAAGCTTTTTAAAAGTTTATTTTATTATGCCAGGACATTATAAATTGATAATAATGAGAGATGATTCTTGAGCAGCAATTCATCATATTAGAAGGATCATGTGACACTGAAGACTAGTGTAATGATCCTAAAAAAATTAAGCTTTGGCATCACGGGAATAAATGACATTTTAAAATATATTGAAATAGAAAACAGTTTCTTTAAATTGTAAAAATATTTCACAATATGAATCTATTTTTTAATCAGATTAATGTAGCCTTGGTTAGCATAAGACAGTCCCTCCAGAAAAATGCGATTATACGTTCGCATGAATTAAGCTTTGGTGCATAATCAGTCTTTTTTCAAAATCATTTTAAAACAGTTATGTATGTGAGCTGTTTTTGTGTGTGTGTGTGTGTGTGTTTTGTTGTTGAAGATATGTAATGTCCATCCATTAACTGATTCTGAATTGTTCATCTCAGTGCTGGTGTGGGCAGAACGGGGACCTTCATTGTGATAGATGCTATGCTGGATATGATGGGTGCAGAAAGAAAGGTCGACGTCTTCGGGTTTGTCACACGGATCAGAGCCCAGCGCTGTCAGATGGTCCAGACTGATGTGAGCTCATAAAAAGTTTTTAAAAACTCCCAATAAAGTTACCTCAAAAAATATATCAAGAAACTAATCTCCCACCCTCTTCTTCTCCATTCAGATGCAGTACGTGTTTATATTCCAAGCTTTGCTAGAGCACTACCTGTACGGGGACACGGAGTTAGAGGTGACGTCTCTGGAGTCTCACCTGTCGAAACTCTACGCTCCTTTACCTGGAGCTGGCTGTGGAGGCCTGGAGGCGGAGTTTAAGGTGGCACAATCTGTTTATTTCTGTATTTAGTTCTGCATGTTTAGAAAACATATTGTTCTGGTACCATTTTGAATATTTTTTTTTATTTTCTGTTTTATTTATTATTATATCTCTTTTTCTCTCTTTTAGAAACTTACCTCCATTAAAATCCAGAATGACAAGATGAGGACAGGGAACCTGCCTGCCAACATGAAGAAAAATCGTGTTTTGCAAATCATTCCATGTGAGTTGTGTGTTTAATAACAAGACTGTGATTTGAGAGAATAACTTCATATAATATAAGTTTGGTTTTGTACATTTATTTTTGTAAATAATTTAATACTTTTATGGAGAAAGGATGCATTAAAATCAAATGTTAAGACATTTATAATGTTAAAAAAAGTTTCTATTTGATATAAATTGTTCTTTTGAACTTTCTGTTTATAAAAAAAGTATTTTCTCTTCCACAAGAGCAGCACAACTGTTTTCAACGTTTCAGAATTGTTTCTTGCGCATCAAATCCGCATATTATAATATTTCTGATGGATCATGTGACACTGGAGTAATGATGCTGAAAATTCTACTTTGCATCACAGGCATAACTTATATTTTAAAATGTATTCAAATAGAAAACAAGTATATTTTAAATTGTAGTAATATTTTACAATATTACTGTTTTACTATGTTTCTGATCAAATAAATGCAGCCATGGTGAGCATATGAGACTCATTTCAAAACATTTAAAAAATAGTACTGATCCTAAACATTTTAATGGTAGTGTAGTTGTTTCTAACATGCTCTCTTTCTACGGAGTTGCCCTGTTTATACTTTATATTGTCCAATTATATCCTACTTTTTCTTTATACTTGAATCCTGTTACATGTTGTACATTTTGCAGCTGCTTTTATCTAAAACGACTTGCAGTGAATGTGAGGTGTTCATTTATCAGTATGTGCATTCCTGTGTTTCTTTCTGAACCTTTGCTGTTTCTTCTAGATGAGTTTAACAGAGTGATCATCCCTGTAAAACGAGGGGAGGAGAACACAGACTACATCAACGCTTCTTTCATAGATGTGAGTAAAACCCGTATGACTTGAGCCAGCATTTACTCCCAACTAACCCGAAATACCGCTCAGTGAACCCTTGAGGTAATGCTACAATATTCTACGCTCTATTGAGAAACCACACAGCCTGCTTTTTTTTCTATTTTGGGTGTGGTTTAGAAACATTTTTTAGTCATGAAGTTATTTGGATGCCCATACTGAGATAATCAGCCTGGGAAGGTGGCCATCGCATTGTCCCAAGGCCTAGAGACTTATTATAGATATATGTATTTTCATTCTACACTGAACAGTATCTGTAATGAAAACTATTGAAATCTGAGTGTCCTGATTTGCTACCAATGTAGACTTTTCCAAATCAATCACTTGTGAAGTTCCATGATGATTAGGGAGACAACAGCTTAAGTAGGCAGTAGGGAGCAAGACAATTCAGTATGCTTCATAGCAGATCTCTAGTGAGTGTGGGACAGCTTTGTTTTGGCTGAAAGCCCTTTCACTTCCTCTTTATTTTATTTGAATGAAGGAAAATATCACCCGGGCCGGGCTGCTGCATTGGAAACCCAAGTTGCATTGCAATCTGGAAGATAGCTATACTTAAAACAAAAGCCTGTTTTGTCATTAGTATCATGCCTTGCCTTCTTGCTGTACATGTCCATGAATAAATGAATATGCATAATTCTGCTTGTTACCACCCAACGAGTGCTGGAGATCTAAAATATGTTGTAGTGTATGAATGCTTTTAAAGTACTGTTAATACAGTAATTATATATTGTTAAAATGTGGGTCAGCAAGTTTAAAAAAAAAAATTCTAAATAATAAAATGTATTATTTTATTCAGCGAGAACACGTCATTAAATTGATCAAGTTTTATACGATTTCTGTTTAATATTAATGCTCTTGTTTTGAACTTCGTTACTCATCAAAGAATCTACGAAATGGATCATGGTTTCCACAAAAACAGTTTTCAGCATTGATAATTGATCTTGAGCTCCAAAACAGCATATTGGAATGATTTCTGAAGGATCATGTGACTTTAAAGACTGGAGTAATGTCTGATGAAAATTCAGCTTTTGCCATCACAGGAATAAATTTAATGTTACTGTTTTGCTGTTTTTGTTTTTTGATCAAAAAAATTGTAGCCTTTTAACCTTTTAAAATTTTACGACCCCAAACAGTAGTATGCATCCATGATTACATTTGGAAAAATGCCCAATATATACAAGTTTGTGAAGTAGACCTACTTTGTGTGTGTGTGAATGCAGGGTTATCGGCAAAAGGACTCGTACATGGCATGTCAGGGGCCCCTGCAGCACACCATCGAGGACTTCTGGAGAATGATCTGGGAGTGGAGGAGCTGCTCTATTGTTATGCTGACCGAGTTGGAGGAGAGAGGACAGGTAAGATCACTTGCTTCCTGACTTGGCATCTGTGATCATTCTAGCTTTGTGTCTTTTTGTGGTTAGAGATCTGTGCATAAAGCACCTGTAATGCTAATTTAAACCCTCTCCTAAGGGAATGATTTAAGGGTGTTGCATAATAATCTCTTAAACTACTTCTCCTAGGTACGGGAAACTGTAAAGTGTGCCATAATGAAATTCTATTGCTGAGGCGCCTGCAGGATTTTATCTCAGGGAGACACAGAACTACGTTTTTTTACTTTACTCCAGTTGCTGAGTAGCTTTGTCCCGGAGCGTGTTTTGTTTTCAGAGAAACGTGGTCAACAAAAAACGAAGCCTCGCTTTCTTTCCAGTTATGTGAACGCTTCACTTTGCTTTGAATGTTTGGTCATGTTCATGGAATTCAAGTCCATTCACTAACATTTTTGATATATAAGCCTATAGCCTATATTACCTTATCATATATTTTGCCATATAAACAGTATAAACACCATAAAATAGAGCACAATTTACTTGCCCCAAACAACACTGTTGGTATTATTATAATTAGTATTGTTATAATTATTGATGTTGTTACATTTCATTTATTGACACACTTTAATATGTGAATTATATTATCGGGAAACTAAACACATTTAGTGTTGTCATTCTTTTATTCATGCTTAAAGGACAAGTTTGGTATTTTACATGATGAAATCGTTTCTGATGAAATAGAACGATTAAGATTAAAATTTGGACACAGACTGCTGGCCCGAGAATTTTAGGTTTCTGTGTTAGCACCCCCCCACCTACACAATGGTTGTATAGGAGCACTGGAACATTCATTCATAAAACGCATTAAACTTTAGTTTAGTGAAATTCACTGAGTGATCTGGGGTGTTCTTGTCCTGTAATGTATTATGGCTGCTATAAATTGGACTTGCCACAAGATGGCACTATTATTTACACTTTTGATGCTTCGAATCTTTTCCCGAAACAGAGAAAAGCTTTAAAAAGTATTTCGAGGCTTCATTTCTCCATCTCTACACCTATTATGCCTTTTAGCGAATGTTTCAATGACGTATAGCTGTTTTAGAAAGTGTGTACTCATTTTGTGCCTGGTTTTAATCTGTAATTATCTGTACGTCATGTTTTGTGGGTGGAAAAAGCAGCAATTAAACAAAACTAAACTAGCCAATCAGATTTTTTTTTTTCCACTAATCCCCCACCCATGCACGCCCATACACACTTTTGACTTTAAAAGAAATACAGAAGTGCTTTTTGATTCACAGCAGCCCTGACCTAAAGAAACCCGGTCCAAACAACAGTCATAAGTTTAAGTATGATCACCTAAGGGCGATCTTAGGTGAAAATTACACTTTAACCAGACATTGGGATAGTAACAGAAACATATTACTAGAAAAACATATTTCATTCCATCTGGTGGGGCAGCATTAAAACACAAAAATCTGTCTTTTTTACCCCTACTATCTGCAGGAGAAGTGTGCTCAGTATTGGTCTAGTGATGGTGTGATGGTGTGTGGGGACATATCCATTGAGCTGAAGAGGGAGGAGGAAAGTGAAAGCTACACTGTGAGGGACCTTCTTGTCACCAACAACAGAGTGAGTTCACTTCAGGGGGAAAAAAAATGGAGCAAAAATGATTTGTGATTTACGCATGTGTTTTCACTTTATCTCTGTGTTTTAATGTTTGCCGTTTTCTTTCTCTCTGCAGGAAAATAAGTCTCGCGCTGTGAGGCAGTTTCATTTCCACGGCTGGCCAGAGGTGGGCATCCCCTCCGACGGGAAGGGCATGATCAACATCATCGCTGCAGTTCAGAAACAGCAGCAGCAGTCTGGAAACCACCCAATCACTGTGCACTGCAGGTAAGCTACACTTCTGGCCAATCAGAAGCATTACACTTTATTTTGTATTGTTTGTATTAAAATACTTGTGTATACATTTGTCTTTGTGACAGTAGAACTATTTCTCTTCTCTTTTTTGTACTTTTTCATATTTCTTTTTTAATTTTGAGAGGAATATTCTACATTCCCCACTTGCAAAACCTATTTTTTCTCTTGTTTGCTACTTTGTATGTGTTTTTTTTGGACTGCTGAATTGTAAACTACCCTTCAAAATTTGGGGGTCAGTCCACGGTTGCATTTATTTGGGCAAAATACAGTAGAAAATTTAATATTGTGAAATATTAATACATTATATTTTTACAATTTAAATTCATTTCTATTTTAGTTTATTTTAAATGTAAATTATTTATTTGAAGGCAAAGCTGAATTTTCATCAGTCATTACTCTGACTTAAAATCAAGTTATGAATATAGAATTTGTATTATTATAAATGTCTTTACTGACACTTTTGATCAATTAAATACAGCTTTGCTAAATAAAAGTCTTTCTTTCTTTCTTTCTAATGGCAATCTAAATTTAACTTGGAGAAAAAACATTTGTGTGGTCCTTGTGTTCTCCAAAAAGGAACCCATAATACAAAAACAAGAAAATAAGTTTAATTTAATGCATGATTTGTGGTTGTTGCAGCAGTACACTACTCGGCTTATTACATTATAGTCATTCAACCTAACCATAATTTTTCTAGCATGGATACAGGACCATTTGGTTAGTCATGAATGCCAACTTTAACAGGTCTCACTGGTTTGGCAGCTCAAGTAAGGTTTAGTGGTTTTGTAATGCTGGAAGGCATCCATGGGCGCTAAGTATGACTAAACAAAAACCTATCCAAAGCGTCGGGTAATGATGAAACCGAGATGGAGCCTGCTGTTGTCCAGTGGGATTTCAGGGTCAGGCAATTAAAGAAAGTCAATTTACCTTCATTTATATAGCGCTTTTAACAATATAGATTGTTTCAAAGCAGCTTTACAGTGATAATAGGAAATTAAAGTAACAGAGATTGTTTTGGCTTTACAGCAGCTCTAAAATAAAGTTATTGTCCAGCTTAAGTACGTTTTGATTGATTAACTTCCGTCGCAACGATCATTAGTTTTTAACTTAACATGACACCATTATTACAGAAAACGTACCTAAAAGTACCTGGTGTCTCAAGAATGCAAACCATAAAATAGGTTCCAAGGTACAAGCCTTTAAAAATGTATATTACAGAATTTTTATATCACTTCCATGATTTCGGATGATCCATGATTTGGCTGCTACCTTGGCCAGGTCTCTCTTGTAAAAGAGATTCTGAATCTCAATGGGATTTCCTGGTTAAATAAAGGTATAAATAAAAAAAACTTCCGCATAGCCACATAAACCAGAATTATCCCGACAACGTTTTATCTGTATAGAGGTAAAGGAAAGGAGGTCTTCACAAGGGAGAGACCAGTTGACACTTCAGGTCTGCGTTGTCGTCGTGTCCAGGTGCAGATCCTTCATCAGATCCGGATACGGCCTGGATCCGGCGGACTGCGGTAAACCTTGAGATAAACAGAGAGACTAATATTAGCGTTGACGCCGTCCTGCTTATGATGTAACAAGTACATCAGGATTTATGGGAATTGTTCCAGTACCGGCTGATCTAATCTATGCATCCTAACATTGAATCGTAGAAGTCTATAATGTGTAGTGTTACTTGTGTGCTAGGTCAAAGAGGTGTGTTTTTATCTAGATTTGAACTGACAGAGTGTGTCTGCTTCCCGGACAATGTTAGGAAGACTGTTCCAAAAGAAAGGGACTCATTGATGTCCACAGAGCTGTGTGTAATTGATTTTTGTGATTTTGTGTGTTAACAGTGCCGGCGCAGGGCGCACAGGGACATTCTGTGCTCTGAGCACGGTCCTGGAGCGGGTGAAGGCTGAGGGCATTCTGGACGTTTTTCAGACAGTGAAGAGTTTAAGATTACAGAGACCACACATGGTGCAGACACTGGTGAGAAAACACACTGCTCACGCTGCAGGTGTTGACCTGTTGAATATAATAAAGTGCAGTTGAGCAAATTTTTTTTTTTTTTTTTATCAGTGGCATAAAAACTAGTGCTTCACTATTTGGGGAAACACTCAAATTGTGTTTTTTACTGTCACTTTTATAATTATTATTTTTAGTTTTGTTATTTTAAATATTTTTAATTAAGATCGAACAGAAGCCTCAGCCAACCGTTTGCGTCACCAATGGACTGCAAGCTGACTATTGGTCTAATATTACAGCGCCTAATTAATATTCATGGTCTATGCTGATAATCTTTTTTTTTAGATAGTTCCTACACCCTTTTTTTTTGTCTGGTTTTGCTTTTAATTCTTTTAATCCAAACATCTCGGGCCAGTTGTTCAAAGGTAAGCTGATCGGATTTTGGTTATCGGATTGGATCAAATCTTGAAAATGGGTTGTTCAAAAGGGAAAGAAGGAATCTGAAATCAGATTAGATCAGGGAATCCAATCCTAGTTTTAATCTGGATCAAACCTTCAGTTTGTGTTGTTCAAAACTTGTCAGTGGGATTTGGATAACTTTGATCCAAAAAAATAGGATTATCCTGATCCCAACAGGGTGGATTTCAGGAAGAAAATGTAGTAAAACTTTAAAATTGGTCAAATAATACATTTGTAATAATACATTTAGTGTATATACTTTTATTTATATTTTGCACTTGACTTGTGTAACCGTTGTAACACTGATAAAGTAGACATAGGCTAACAATTAAGTTATTCAATATAGTAAAGTAAAAATAAAATAAAAATTATCTTGTCCCCATTTGTATTTTGTCTCAAAATAAGAAACACTTACAGTGACCCCATGTTGGCTCTTCTACCTGTTCTTTATAGTACATAGCTGGTAGCCCACATTGTGATATGTTGTCCCAGAGCACTGGTAATCCGGATTTGGTAATCTTAAAAACTGTGTGTCTGGATCAGGGTGATCCAGTCCAATGTTGCTTTGAAAAACCGGCATAAAAGCAAGACTGATTACCTGATCCTGGATAGGAAAAAATGGGATTTCCAAATCCGGATCATTTTGATCCAGATTAAATGTTTTGAACAACTGGCCCTTCAAGTCCCTCTCAATTCATATTTCCCTGCTTTTCTCCACAGGAGCAGTATGAGTTCTGCTACAAAGTGGTCCAGGAATACATTGATGCCTTCTCTGACTACGCCAACTTTAAGTAAAGCCACACCCACCTGCAGAAAATCAGACAGACTTTCCCAGTCATGCACTCCCGTCCACACTTTCACGTAAAGAGCTCAATGAGACGGACTGCCAGCGCAAAGCAAAAGGGAATCAAAAAAATCCTTTGGCCGGCAAGCACGAGAACACGTTGGTTGCCGAAGTTGGAAAGAAAACAAACAAACAAAGAAAACACCATTAGAGATGCCTTCTTGAATATTTTGTAATATTGCTCTTGTTAATAAGGCCCTTACCCATTTCTCTTAGTGTAAATATGTTCTCTTTTTTTTTTTTTTTTGGTTTTGTTTGTCTGTTTTTGGTTTTAGAAGCCGTTCTGTTGCGGTTTTTAGAGTGACCTTATTATAGTTTACTGGTATATAAATGCATACATGAATATTTTAAGATGGCGCTATAGAGACAGACGTGAAAGAGCGGTTGCAAGATGAGGGTGCTTTTTTTCACTGGGTGTTTTTACAAGAAAATTCATTTTTCTCTGCAGTTGAGTGACTGAATGCAATTTGAATGGCAGCTCAATCCCACTTTGCTGTTGCTTGTAGCTACATAACGCACAATGCGGCAAATTCGACCAATCGCAGAGCCACTGTAAACGCATGCGTTCGCAGAAAATACTCCATTGTGCTTTTTGATTGGGTTCACTGGAGTGACGGATAACATTCTGAGTGTTTAACAGGAACCTTTTTTGGGGGGCGTATCTAAGACATCCCTTAGATTTGTAAGATGTTTAGACTGTCAAGTGTGTCTTTGTGGTGTCAATTTTGTTTATCTTGCGTGCCAGACCCGACTTGTGTTCTGCCTTGTAGAGGAAGATAAAGGAAACTTAAAAAGACAGAAATCTAAACCCTGAGTGTTTAGATCAGACTCTTCACATCATTTTTATCCCTACTTTGCCTTGAAGTTATATTCAATACAGCCCCAAAAATCCTCTTTTCTAAAAGCACCTTCTGTTTGCGATTGTAACATCCCTGTAGAAGGTTGATTGGCCTTAACAACTCTACTTGACAATAAGGGTTCGTAATGTACAGGCAGTTACTTTTCCTTCTTTCAAAGTTAAACGATCCCGCCGGGCTGTCTACTTGCAAGGTATTGGTGCAAATTTAATCCAGAAAGTTCTAGAAGAAATGACACATGATCACCTGATCATCTGTTCCTGCCCATGTAAAGGACTTCGGTTGTTGTGCAGAAGTCATTGAGCCCTTTCCAGCTCCACTGAGCCAGTTAGATTGATACACGTTACTTTTCAGTCATTTCAACTTCTTTAAAAAAGAACAGGTAGATGGTATAAATAAGGTCAGTGTAGGATGATTGTCTTTACATTTAGGTCATTTGAACTAGTTATGTGATTAAAGCTGATTGTCAGTGGAAAGAAAGTCATTTTCCAGCGAATGTTTTATGTAGGTAAAGTCCTCGTTCCTCACTTCCTTGTGTCAGGAAACGTAAGTTATATGAAATGTATGTTTTAGCTCCTAAATGTATGTAAGCCCAATGGGTGTCGCTCTAAATCACACGCCCATCAGTCATTGCATATAACCAGGGATCTCGATGGAAACTGTTTTTGTTATTTCAGATCCACGACGTTACGGATTACAGAATTATGGATCTCTAGTACAGCTTCTTACGGGCTTGATATTCCATGTAATGCTGATGGATTTGCTTGAGTATTGTGCGAGTCGACTGTTGCGTTTTTGTTTAAAGTCACACTAACCTTTTCCACATGAGACACTGTGCCAATAGCAGCCTCTCAGGGGCAGGATCCTTCTTCAGAGGTGGGAAAGTGCCTCATCACGTTCCTGTAGCTTCAAGCATATTCCCGCCAGCTCTTTTGTAGCCCGTGTTCTCCCAGTCCCGCAGACGGACGTTGTGGCCCATATGGCGTATGATAATCTGTAATGGAACCCAAACTGTTACTGTGTTTTTGGTGTGTCAGTTTTTCATGCATTTTTTTTTTTTCCTCCTGGAGAAGCTCCAGACTTCAGGTTGAAATCCCTCAAAACTTAAGCTCTTAATGTATGGAGAGCAATCTAGATCTTCTGGTCGAGAAGGGAAGCCATGTGTCTAGAGGCTCACTTCATTCTCCTGTTGAATGTGACATTGAAACGGCCTGCTCATATAAGAGAATGGAAGAATGAGGAGAACGACTGAAAAATAAAGGATTCTGCTCTCCAAAAACCCTATTTTGAGGATTTTATCTGAAACTTTTCTGTCTTCGATTGGATCAATTCTAAAATTTAAACCACAGCCTGTTTACGTTCCATGAATCCTAAAACGTTCCCCGTTCTGATATTTCTTTCCTCTTTTTTTTGCACCCCTCTGTACATAATGTAAGGTTATTTATAATTAATTCCTATCTGTTGCCTTGCTTTTATTTTTTTATCTTTCTCACTTTTTTTTAAGATACTTGTATATTAAACTGTACTGGGACCATTTTGAAATGTATTAGATGTTTTTTTCCCCCGCTTTTAATTCGGTATTATTATTGTCTTACAAGCTTATTTTTTAATTTGCATCGTTTTTTTCTAGTGTTTTGTTAAATTTGAATATATATGTATATATAATTATATATATGATGCAAATTATATATAATTATATAATGCCAAACGGCCTTTCTAAACAAGATACTGTTCAAACCTAATAAAAGTGCTTGAGATTTTATCTGCTGTGTGTATATATTCAGTGTGATTTTTTATATATATATATATATATATATATATATATATATATATATATATATATATATAAACAATATTTTTTTCATTCAGTAAGGACACGTTAAATTGATCTACAGTGACAGTTTAAGCTTTTGCATGCAAAATGATTTTATAATGTATAAAAAAATACATTCTTTTATGATTTGAAAGTTATCACTGTTGTGTTTACACTAATATATTAAGCAGTATTTTCAACACTGATATTAAGAGTGTTTTTCAATCTTTGAATTGGTATACGCATCTGTTATAAACTGCATTGGTAATATCTTGAATCCCTGAGCATGGAAAGAGGCTAAATTCAGGGAGTGAGTCACGTCACCTGGTGTCACCTTGGCTTCCATCCTTCCTGACCCATAAGACCTGGTGTCAAACCTGGGATGTAGATGGATTATCCGAGCGGACCCCTGTGCGTGTTTAAACATTGTGTGACAGGAACTCAATCAGGACTTGAAACTGTGATGAGTCAGTCGTCCGGGTTCCGTCCCCTCGAGAGAGACCTCCTCTGTAATTAACACTGCGGTCTGGCTGGAGTGTTTGCACAGTGTTTTTTTCTGTGGGCCAGGGTAGGGTCAGGGGTCACAAACGACGGATGTGAGGTCACGGTGGACACTTTTTACAGCTTCGAGGAAATTATTTAGACGTTGACTCATTTAATGAAACGTGCTCATCTAGAATGTTTGATATTGGGGTCACTGGAGTTAATGTGTCTGAAAAAAAAATAATTCACAGAATATGATCCAATTTAGACAGCTGATGGCACTGACTAGCCTCTTTTGCTTGAGATTGTTAAAACATTTGGGGTCAGTAAGTTAAATTGTTATAGGATTGTTGTTTTTTGTAGGAACAGTAACACTAGTAATGATGCATTCAATTGATTAAAACACAGTAAAGACATGTATAAAATAACATGGAAAAACATGTATCAGGATTTCAATTGCTTTCAACATTGATAATAATCAGAAATATTTCTTGAGCACCAAATCAGCATGCAATGATTTCTGAAGGATCATGTGACACTGAAGACTGGAGTAACGATCCTGAAAATTCAGCTTAGCGATCGCAGAAATAACTTACATTTTGAAATATGTTAAAAGATTTTATTTTATTTTTTTTATTGGAAAAATATTTCATATTTCAGTTTTTATTTTTTAACAAATCATTGCAGTTTTGGTGAGCATAAGAGACCAATTCAAAAATCTTACCGACCCCAAACTTTTAAAAAAAACTTTTGCTGATAATTTACTTAACAAATTTTAAGGTTTCTGATGTAAACATTCTAGGATTTTTCTCCACATAACAGACTTTATTGGGTACCAAATGGTCCTAGGTCAAAATAACAGTTTCAGTGCAGCTTCAATTGGCTTTAAACGACACCAGACGATGAATAACGGTCTTATCTAGTGAAACGATCAATCATTTAAAAAATAAATAAAAAAGTTGAAGTTTTATAAGCACAAATGCTCGCCTTGCTCTGTTTGCCCTGCGTGTTTGTGACTCTCCTGATCGAACTAGTTCATCAAAATGAACGAATCTTTTTTTTACGAGTCATTTCGTCTATTCAACAAACGAAATGACTCGACAAAAGACTCGTTCATCAGAAAAATCCGACATTGTTATCATCAAAAACCTTAATTTCTTTTCGACTGAAGAAAAAAAGACATGGGCATCTTGGATGATTTGGGGGTGAGTAAATTAACAGCAAAAGTTTTTTAAAAAGTGAACTAATCCTTTAAAGCCCTTTGAAGCTGCACTGAAACCCTCATTTGGACCTTGAACCGTTTGGTTCCCAATTAAGTGCATTATATGGAGAACATCCTGGAAGGTTTTCATTAAAAACCTTAATTTCTTTTCGACTGAAGAAAGAAAAACGTGGACATCTTGGGTGACATGGGGGTGAGTAAATTATCAGCAAAAGTTTTTTTCAAAAGTGAACTACTCCTTTAATGTTTTTTCCCACTTTCTTTTCGCACGATCTATAATATATATATATATATATATATATATATATATATATATAATAAAATGAATAGAGTCAATTCCTTTCCAAGTTAAATCCTAAATTAATATACAATAGCCTACACAGTAATTCGATAAATTAAAATATAAAACAAATAGAATAATTTCCTTATATATTTTTCTCTCTTTTCTTTAATTAGCACTTGTGCATACTTGGTCGTGACACTGTTTATTTTTTGTTGTTGTTTTTTTACTGCTGGATAGCATCAAATTTACGCAGGTGTGATGTAGTTGCATAATGTTTCTGGGCGTAACTCATGTGTACATTGATGTGTGTTTAATATTTTTCGGTGAGATAGGGGACGCTGGGGTCAACAGTGTTTGAAGATGATAATTGGCATATTGAGCTCATCTTCCACATGCTCTCCTCCCAATGGAACCACAATGAGGAAAGCGTTTGAGAGCTAGGGAGGTCAGAGTGTGTTTTTAGACGGGCGGTGGGTGGAGATCTGGTGTGGAACATAAATTGTGAGGAAGAGGAGGAGGAAGATTCCAGACAATGAGTTGTAGGCTTATCTCAGAAGCTCTTTGATTGAACAGAACCGTTCACTCGAGGGAAAGCAGACCATATCAAGTTCACCAAGACCACAACTACTAGAGAAGACACTTCAAGAGAAGACGTGCCAATAGATAAAAGGTAAGAACAGTGTTTAAATTTGTTCAGTTGTGATTGAAGATTTTGTTATTGACTGTTAAATGTGTCAGTGCAGTCATTGCTCACTCTCTTTTTGTGTGATAAATCTGCCCTCTTTCCTCAGTTATGGTGCACATCTGCAGGCTGCTTGTACTGATGGGGATGTTGCTGTGTTTAAGTGCCCAGTTCGCCAGCTCTCAGCACTGGTCTCATGGCTGGTACCCTGGAGGAAAGCGAGAGATAGACATTTACGATACATCAGAGGTGTGTGAATATTACTTAAGAAAGTACAAGACTGTTAGAAAAGCATGGACTTGTTGTGATGTGCCACAGAATGTCAAATTCTTCTTTTTTTCTAATGAAAAACAATTAGTTGACGGATTGGTTATCATGTTGTCAGTTGCTTTTTTTTCATATACTATTAGAGTTAGATTTAAAAGGGGGGAACAATTTTAATTTTTTAGTCAATGAATTAAAATACATTTTGTTAAAAAATGACATTTACATTTTTTTTACTGTAAAATGTTTTTACTTTTTTTAAATAAAAAGTGCTAGTTATTATATAATTTACACTAAAGATCTATATCATTTATTTTTTTAATCAACATTTATTTTTACAATGAATTATTGTGGTTATTTTTTTTAAAGTCTCTTATGCATACAGGAAAATACAGGAAAAAAAATATACAGGAAAAATTTGTCAATTAATGGGTAATAGTTTACAATAAGGTTATATAACATGAACTAACCGAGCAATACATTTGTTACAGTATTGTTAATCTTTGTAAACGTTGGTTAATAAAAACTCTGCTGTTCATTGTTTGTTCATAATAGTTCACAGTAAGCTAATGTTAATAAATAAAATGTTTCAATAATTTTAAACCTATTAGTAGGCTAAATGTTGAAATTAACATGAACAAAGATTAATAAATGCTAGATGTGCAGTTCATTATTAGTTCATAATAAGTTAAAAATAATGAAACCTTATTGTAAAGTGTTACCAATGAATGTTTATTGCATTATTTTACGTTATTTGTCACGTGTCTTACCCTGGTGGGATTTAGTGTTTGTGTGGAAGCACTGTCTTTACATGTTTATTAGCCTTTGTTTAAGCAAAGATATATTTTGATGAACTTTAAACCATCACTTTGCCGTCTATTTGACTTTAAAATCAGGTTTCAGAGGAAATTAAACTCTGTGAGGAAGGAAAATGCAGCTATCTGAGACCCCAGGGAAGAAACATTCTGAAGACAATACTGGTGGGTATACAGCTCTTGTTTTGGCTTGATTTTATTTATTTATTTATTTTTTTGCATAAGCTAGACATGAGAATATATTGAGTATTTCTCTACATGACTAACTTGTTTCAATGACTTTAGCTGGATGCCCTCATACGGGATTTCCAAAAGAGAAAGTGACACCAAGATGACTCATCAGCCCTTGTCCAAAGAAACAAGCTTTCCAACAAACACATTAGACCTGCTTTTACATTCAAATATATTAATATAAATATTTTTTTTCTGTGATTTTAATTTAATTTTTGATGTTGTACATTTTGTTCTGTTTGTGAGTAAACCTACTGCTGGCATTATGTAACCATTTGCTGCAGTTCCTACAATAAAGGCTTTATTTTGGTATTTTGTTTTAATTGTTCAGTGTCTTTTTGTATTATTTCTAGGTACATTCACAGAACGTGCACAAGAGAGAAATTGAGAGAAACCAACGTATGTTGTTTTCTATATATAAAAAATGACTGTTATCAACTACAAAAAAGTGGCAAACATCTATTTATTTAGTGAAATAATGTTAGAGTTAATAAATTAATTAGTTAATTAGAGTTAAAATAATTACACTGTAAAAAAAATATTGTTGGTTTAACTTAAAAAAGTAAGTAACCTGGTTGCCTTAAAATTTTAAGTTGATTGAACTGGAAAAAGTGAGTTAATACAGAGGAGAATGATTTAATCATAAGAAACTCAAAATAATAAGTTATCTGAACTAAAAAAAATATTTAAGTTGATTTGACAAAAGAAAAAATGTTGTGATAACAAATCTTGAAAATATTTTTTTACAGTGTAGAGTTAGCAAATTAATATATATTGTTTTATTTTATTATATTTTAAAATCTGTAAAATATTATAACAAGTTACAGTATATATATATATATATATATATATATATATATATATATATATAATTTTGTTTTAATTTTTATATTTTTATACTTATATTTTTAAGTTGTTTACTTGGAAATGATTTTTCGTTTGATTCGGCAGTATTTTGTTTAGCCACCAGATGGCGTAAATTGACATCAAAATTTGGCCCAAGAATAATCAAGTTAAAAGTGACATTAAAACTAAAATCAATGCCATGCAAGCCAAAGTGATAATTATGTAAAGCATGTGCTATCAAATGAAAATGCAAGACCAGTTGATGGCTCTTTTTGTATATTATGCCATCAGATTTGACAGTAGAAATGAAAAGACAAGTTCCCCTAGACAAGACAAGAGGCGGAGAAGGTTGACAGACCCCAAACATACACATGGTAGTTTGTTATATTGATATAGTTGATATATTCACATGGACATATTCACATGGAATAACAATACTGTTCTCTTCTAATCCAAAAATCAGCATTGAACAATGAACATGATTTAGACAAAAATATTGTATGTGAGGTCATATTAAGTACTGTACATAAATTATTTTGTTTGTTTAGCTGGTTCTCAATCAATGATTAAATATCTGATGACATTCCCCCAAAGGAATAAAGATCCTACAGCAGACAGATATACAGAAAAGATGCAGCATTATGTATTCATTTACAACTAGCCATACCATCAGGGATTGTTTTCGTAACACAGCTCTATCTGACGAATGAAAACGGAAATAAGCAGGAAGCCACTTTGGCAAGCCTGCAACTTTCATTTCTGCACAAACTTAGAAAATGGAACAGCATTGTGTGTGTGTGTGTGTGGCTCAGGTATACATGAATACCAAACATTAATCTTGCTCCCTGTGAGTGTGAGTGCTCAATAAAAACACAACTAACAATGAGGATGAAGTTGGTCTAATATAGTCAGAATATTATACTGAATGAAATGATTAACACGTGCCAGCACAATTATCAATGAACTTAATACATGTTGCAAAAATGTTTTATCCATGCCTGTGTGCAAAATTCAAAATTGGATGAAGGTGTAGCAATTTGTGCAAATAGAGAAGTTTGTGTGAATACAAATGTTTTCTGTGTATCATAATTTGAGCATGCAACAAAGAAGATGTGCATGTGTGGATCAGGTGACGCACATTAATTGAATTATTGTCTTAAGTCGATCTCATTTAATGATTTGGATTTTGAGACTAGAAAGTCTCAAAACCAGAAAGTCTGGATTTTGAGAAAAGAAAGTCTCAAAATCCAAATGAATCAAATATAATTCATTTAAAATAATTTTAAATAAATAATTTTAAATTATTAATCACATCTTCTTTGTCGCATGCCCAAATTATGATAGGCCTACACTCATTCAAAAGAAAACCTTTAAAACATCTGTATTCACACAAATTTCTCTATTTGTACAAATTGCTACATTAATTCAATTTTGAATTTTGCATGGATTGCAAGTTCCAAGTTGAAAGGCATGGATAAAACATTTATCATGTACATGTATCAAGTTACTTGTTATTCATCCCTTTTATTTATTATGTAAATTGATATTATTTATAGGCTACCATTTGGCCAATAACATGTTACATTTAACATCTAATGGGTTTGACAAATCCAAATACACTACCACTGCCATTAGATGTAAAGTAGGCTAATACATCAACAACATTAAAAAAAAAAGTCAACAAAAAGTCAACACTGAAACTGTTTAGAAAGACAAGACACGTGGCTATCCCCCCACATGTTTTGTCACGCACAGTTAATCAAGTGTATGCCATAAACTCTTGAAACATCATCATTTTTGTTTTCTCATACAACTCCGTCATAGTCATTTGATAACTTTCCTGCTAGAGTTCTTGCGAATGCGGTGAGTTATGGCAAAATACTTTATTGGGTGGATTATATTTCCCAGTTTAGGCTGTATGCAGACTATAGATAATACTATCTTCTAAACGCCTATCTTTGGGCAAAACGTAAGCCTATCAAAATGTTGTTTCTTATAATGTCATATCTTCATGTATGGCAATGGACTTTTCTGAACTCGGTGTATCTCATCGTTAGGAAATGTATTGATGTTTTTTATCGGGGTGTGTTTAAAATAGATTTGAAATAGGGAAGCAGTGTGTCATTGTCAGCAACATGCCAGCACCTACACTTTTCTCTGAGCTGCACTATCTCGGATCTATGTAAATCCTTTGTTAAGTTTGTCTGTCGATGGGGAATTAACATTTTATTATTATTATTATTATTGTTATTATTATTTTACCAATTAGGCCTACCATACTTCAGCTCCATATCTCCCTTCCATGTTTGCGGAGGACGTCGATGTAACTGCATAGTAAGTTTCACTAATTTTAAAATATATTTCTATAATGTATAACGTTTCATGGCTAAAGAAATGTACTATTAAGCATTTATAAATAGATACATACATTCATAGCTACAGCATTTATAAATAGCTACATTCATGCAAAAAAATAAAAAAAGCCAAAATAATATTCAAATTTACTTGGCTTTCTATTTTATGTCCAATTGCATTTATAAACGTGAGATATCAACGTTGATATCTCACGTTTATAAATGCAATTTATATAAATGTATATAATATAATTAGCCTATGGGTGATTCTATAATTGGAGATACATTTTGCATTTCAATTTTTGAAAAAAAAAAAGGTTGTCATACAGAACCATTATTTAAGAATTACCTTGAAAACACTTTAAAGTTGCTAAATTCACTGCTATACAAATACAGATATTTTATTATTTTCTCTATTTTATAAAAATATCACCTGTTCATAGTTTTTCTCGTCAATTCTGTTACGGACGAACAACCAAATATATAGAAGTAACAGTACATCAAAAAATGATAAATCTTTTTAGTTTCATTTGAAATATAGTCCTTTTATTCAGGCCTTTAAAACAGATATTAAATATTATATTTATACAACTTCAAAAACAGATTCACCCCCAAGCAATAGTGGATTATCCAAAGGGTGCACTTGTTTTTTTTATCAAATTACTTGAACATTTCAGGGTAGAGATAAAACTTTTACATATATCTTACTCTTGCACAATATAAAAATAACAATATTAAGTAGTTTGATATTTTAATGTATTATCTCATTAATATTCAAGATGAAAGACTAAAAACAGAATTGACACATCTGGTAACAGAATTGACGGGGGTAACAGAATTGACCCAAACCAACTAGAACATGCCTATAAAAAGAAAATAACTGTTGAGTTATTGAGTAATATCGACCAGATATCCCTCTGGATCTCTACATGCCATGTCATAACCTTGATCGGGGGTGGAATTAATCTGAGGATGTCCTCATGTGGGTTCCAATGAACACCTTCACGACCAGGCCAAAAGAATCTATTTTTTCCTATTTGGTGCATGCATTTGACCCTCACACAAGTCTCATTGACCTTCAGGATGGTACCAGGATAGATATCATGGTCTATGTGAGGACACACCATTGTCCAACCACATCCTGGCTCTCCCAGTGTATGTCTGTCTGTTGGTCTTCATCTCTCTCTTCAACAGCTCTCTCTTCTCCAACAGTTCTCTCTTCATTACATTGTATTACATTATTATTATTATATTATTGTATGGTAGCATGACAAATAACCACACATGCTTGGGTAGGTGTGTGTGTCTGTGTGTGTTGAAATCATCTGATCATGGTAGAATAACCCAATTGATCAGAGTGTGTGATCGTGCGTGTGTGCGCACGTGTGTGTGTGTGTGTGTGTGTGTGTGCGTGCGTGTGTGTGTGTGTGTGTGTGTGTGTGTGTGTGTGTGTGCGTGCGTGCGTGTGTGTGTGTGTGTGTGTGCGTGGCTATAAACACACATTATGCATTTTTATGTGTGTTTGCATCATTGTGTGATAGTAACCAAGGTGAAAACCAAGGCATTGGTCAATTCTGTTACCGTACCTTGGTAACAGAATTGACAGTTATTGACAGTAACAGAGTTGAAATTTTTAGCATTTTTTTACTAATAACACCACATGCTAGCATAAAGGCTAAGAGCACATGGCCTGACACTAAAGATGATTCTAAAAACTTTTAATACCTCCTTTTGTTAATATCTTTGAACTTTGCTTTCCCTATGAGATTGTTGAAACAGTTTTGACATGTTATATAAGAACTCTTGGTGCAAGTGCCGGTAAGATTACAAGGCTTCAGAGAGAACAAAACACATACCTCCTAGTTCTTTAGAGTTTAATACCAAAAGGGAAGTGACATCATCTTGCATTGCTTAGGATACTGATGTGACAGATAAGCATAATTTAAAGAGACAATAACATGTAGTAACAGAATTGACACTGGATTTATGGACTGGTATTTTTCCAATAATAAAAGTTACTTTTAAACAAATTAATTTCAGCAGAATTTGGAAACTGTCACCAATAATAATTTATAAACAAAATTATTAAAACCTGTACCTGAAATTTGTAATTTAAAAC